AATTCATTTATGCCTTATTCAATTTCTTCTTCAAAGGTTACTTAGGTCCTCTATTTCCTGTTCTATTAATCTGGACAATTTAAGTTTTTGGAAATGTTCACCCATTCCATTTAGATGATAAGTTTATTGGTCATATAGTTGTTCAAAATTGGTCCCAATAATTTCTTTATTTCTTCTTCCTTGGTTGTGAATTTACCTTTTTTTATTTTTGATAATTATAATTTAGTTTTCTTCTTTCTTTTTGTAAATTGTTAGTTAATGTCCTGTCTGCTTTATTGGTTTTAAAAAAACAGATCTTAGTTTCATTTCTTAATTCAATGATTTTTTTCCCTCAATTTTGTTAATCTCTGCTTTGATTATCAGGATTTCTATTTTGGTGTTTAATTGAGGTGGGGTTCATTTGTTGTTGTTGTTGTTTTGGTTCCATTCCCCATTCAATGACCTACTCTTTCCTTTTTTATGGCAATATTTAGAGATATAAATTGCCCCCAAGTACTGCTTTGGCTACATCCCCCAAATTTTGGTATATTTTCTCATTGTTGCTATTTATTTTTAATGAAATTGATTGTTACTATGATTTTCCAGAATCACAGAGCTAATAAGCTTCACAGGTAAGTATTTTAATTCAGGTCTTCCTCCTCCAAAGTCCAGCACTCTATCCACTGTGTCACCTAACCTTTCTGAGCTTCAATTTCCTCATTAGCCAAATAGGTAAAATAATAACATCTGCCTTGCAGGGATGTGGTAAGGATCAAATGAGATAATGTTATGTGAATTGCTTTTCAAACCATGCTCTTGTACATACTCAGCAATCCAGTCCATTCCACCACCTTAACAATAGCCTACTTGTAACAGGTGACCTTTACCTAAATAAAGCTGTTTAGTATCCTCTGTCCCACTCTTTGCTCTCTCATCAACATTTCCCTAATGACAAGTTATATAGTAGGAAATTAATTAGATATGAGCTATGCAGTGGTCTGTTAGTAAATATTTACCAACCAGCTCTCAAAAGAAAAGTGACAGTCTTTTAAATGTCATCTGCTTTATTTATTTATTTATTTGTTCTCTCCATTGCTTTCTTATTTCTAGACATTCAACAAAGGAATAAATCAAATTCTGTTTTGTAGCATTTTACAATTTCTGAAGTTTAAATGCTCCCATTGAAAATTTAATATTTGACAATCCTAAACCAGTTTAAACTGGCTCCGTCACACTCCTGGAACTAAGTGACCTCTTTGGCCCCTTTGAGCCTGGAGGATTCTATGATTTAGTTACATTTTCATTTGTCTTCTGGTACAGTCAGATAACCTTGTCCCTTTTCCTCTTTGCTCATCAGTGGGAATATTCCAACTTTCTCTTTGCCCTCAGTCATAGTACTTTGTATCAAGTGTTGTCCTTTGGTTATAACAATAATCACAAGAGGTCATATTTGTATCCTATTTTCTTTACAAAGACTCCCTCCATAACAACCCTGGAATGGAAAGGAGGAGCTGTGTTGAGTATTATTGTCCCTATTTAACAGATAAGGAAATTGAGAATCCCTACTTGGTATGGTTGTTATGAGGATCAAATGAGATAATATTTGTAAAAAGCACTTAGCATGGTGCTTGACACATAGTAGGACATATAAAGATGTTTATTCTCTGTCTCCTCTGAAACTGAGAGATGTGAAATGATTTGCTTAAAGTCACATGACTAGTAAGTTGCAGAGCCAGAATCCTAACCCAGGGCTGTCTGACTCCAAATCCAGAACTTTTCCCATGCTATGGGTCTCTCAGGGGTAAAGGGGCAGAAGGGGAATCTCCTTAAAATTTTAAGTCCCTTTAAAGATGGAATGTTTCCTTGGAGATTTCCTTAAAGGACCAGGCATATTAGAAACCAAGAACCTGGAGAGGAAGCAATCTAATACTCGATTGGAGTCAGATGATCTAATAATAATAGCTAGCTAATAATAATAACTATTATCAGTTGATATAGCTCCTATTGTGTGTCATGCATGTGCTATGTGGTTGACAAATAATACCTCATTTGATCCTCACAACAATCCTGGGAGGTAGGTACTATTATTATCCCCATTTTACAATTGAGAAAACTGAGGCAAACAGAGGTTAAGTAATTTGCCCAAAGTCACATAGGTAGTAACTGTTTAAAGCTCAATTTGAACTTAGGTCTTTCTGACTCCAAGACCAGCACTCTATCCATTATGCCTCCTGGTGTCTAATTAAGTTTTGAACCTAATCTAGGTTCAAAATCTTGACTCTGCCTATTTACTAGCAACGTAACCTTAGGCAAGTGACTTGCATTTCTGGACCTCAGTTTCCTCACTGCTGCAATGATGGAATAGGTGACCTTTCAGTTCCCTTGATGGAAATTAATGAATAATCTTACAGTATTACCAGGGAAGTAAAAGTTGGCCCATCTACCAAGTGATTCATATCAAACATTAACTTAAGTTAAATTGTTCTTTCGATTCTCTCTGTGTCAGGCTTGATGGTACTCTCTCTCACTTTGAGGGAGTAGGTTTGACTGAAGATACAAACAGAGAGTGGAAAGTGGGAAGAGATGGATCTTTGGATTACTGGTAGCTGCATATATTTGGTATCCAAATAAGGAATGTTAATTTTCAGATGAGACTCACCTTCCCAGTTCTCACTGTTTTTGTTTGTTTTCTTCCATTAGACCACCAATATGGCGATGGCATCTACTTCAGGAAGAGCCTCAAAAACTTGGTAGACAACCTCAGAAGAACCTCTGACTCTGACCGTGTGATCTGTGTGTTTGAGGCTGAAGTAGTCATAGGTTCCTACTGTGAGGGCAATCCATCCTACATTTCTCCTCCTCCCCTAGGTTCAAGAACCATGGATACCTATGACAGTGTTGTTGACAATGTCAAGAATCCAGAGACCTTTGTTATTTTTGATAGCACACGGGCTCTGCCACATTTCTTGTGGACCTGTGTGTTGAAAAAGAGTGGTTTCTCCCAAATGGAGGCCAAGAATAGGGGCTCAAAGGGCTCCTCCGTCTAACAGTCATGTCATGTTTCTCCAAGTAATGGTTTAGTTACTTAAAAAAAAAAGTCTCCTAAGCACCTCACCTAAAAAATAGATAAGACAGTGCATGAAAACAGACCAGCTATGTACTTGTATCCCAGTGCCTTCAACTAGGCTTCAGCCTCTTTAAAAAAAATTAGAGGAGTAGTGTTAGGTAATCATCATAAAACCTTCCTGGGAGAAAAGGAAAGGCTCTCTGAAAGAGAAACAAACTTTTGAGAGAAAATGTCCACTTCTTCTACTTCCCTTTTCTGTATGAAAACTAGCATCTATCTTGTGCTTTAAAGTTTGCAAAGCCCTTTACAAATATTATCTCATTTGATCCTCACAACAGCCTTGGGAAGTAGGTGCTCTTCTTATCAGTTTCCTGATCTATAAAATGAGGATAGCACTCAGTACCTCCTACTTCATGGGCTGTTTTGAGGCTCAAATGAGATAATATTTGCAGAAAGTGCTTTGCAAACCTCTTAGTACTATGTAAATGCCAGCTCGTGTTATTATTGCTCATTTTAAGCTGATTTATTCATTTAAGATATATTACAATATATGGTGAGATTTCTCTAATTCCATTTTCACTATGCTTCTATCATTTGGACAAGTTTTTAATCAAATAGTGCCTTTCTTCTCCAATATTTTGATATCTCATGTTTTTCAAACATTAGTTTATTATTTACATTTATTCTTGTTCTGAATTATCTAACATGTAATTTCAGAATTGGTAATGCAAGTATCACTTTGACTTTTTTCCTGTTTCACGATTCCCCCATATTATTCATGTCTGGCCCTTCCATGTGCATTTTATCATTTTCTCTAAATCTATGAAGTAGCTCATTGGCATTTTAATATTGCTATTAAATAAAATCTAATAGAAAGTAATTTTGAGTAATATTGTTATCTTTACATTATTGTAATATGTGCCAATATGTCCTGGCTGTCTCTCCACTTATATAATTATTCCCTTTTTCCTATTGATTATTTTATACTTTATAGTTATTTTTTAAAGCTAAGTCTCATGGTTTTCTTGGGAGGTTAATTCAACAGTATTTCATACATTTCATCACATTTATAAAAGGAAATTTTTACTTATTTTTTGTTAATGATAGCCAGGAATGTTGATTTTTGTGACGTTATCTTGTATCATTTTATCTTACTGAAAGCTATTATCTTGATTAATATTCTTGTTGAATCCCCTAGGTTTTCTAAACAATCATGCCACCTTCAGACATAAATATTTTAATTGCTTTTTTGCTTATGCATATTTTTATTTCCCTTTTTTGTGCCTTATTACTACAACTAGCATTCCTAAAAGTATGTCCAATAATAATGACAAGAGTGGCCAGCACAGTTTTTCTGCTGTTCTTAGTGAAAAAACTTTGATGTCTCTTCATTACAGATGTCACACCATTGCTCCAAGGATTCTGGACTTATATGGCCTGGGTTTTTTTCCCTTGAAGGCTGAGCTTCTTTTTTGATTTTTTTTTATCCCATTCATAGTTAACCCAGGAAAATCTCCTAATTAAAGCTTAGGTATGGCTTTGTCTGTTTCTTCAAAGATATGTAATAAGATCCTCAATTCCATATAAGTACTCAGTCTACAATATTATTATTGGGCATGGGACAGTCTTTTGTTTCTCCTCTCACAGAAACTGCCTAAGACTCAAAGGATTCAGTGGAGTCCATGAACAAATACAGAAATATAAATTACTCAAAAGCCCATTAAACTCGTTCAATTCCCCCTTCCCCCAACCCACCACCACCAATGCCAACCAAAGATAAAGACACTAAGAAAGCCTCTTAACAATTTTTCTTCACCATCCTCCTACACTGTGTGAGCAACTATAGAAATTTCAGGGAGGGTTGGCAAAATTCAAATATGTCCTTCATGACATGGTTTTAGTTTTACAGCTATGGGTAAGTCCTCTTTCTCCTCCAGAATGTACACTGTAGAAGAATGCTTCTCCTTTGGGTGGAGGGAGGTGTGGATAAAGGACATATGAAGAAAGAAGCTATCTGCATCCAGAGAAAGAACTGATAAATAGAATAATTTTACACATATATACCTATTTGTGTCTAATGGTAGCCATCTCTAGGGCAAGAGTGGGGAGGGAAGAAAAAATAGAAGTTTCCATGATAATTTAATTATATATTTAAAAGGAATAGATAGCTGTACATAGTAGTTTTGCAGTTTCATGTACAATTATTTTTTTATTATGCCACATTATTGAAATTCTGGTTTTATTCATAAAAATAAAATAAATTTTTAAAAAGTTTAAAAAAAAACAATGTGAGCAAAATAATACTGTCTCACTGCTCTCCTCTCACACTGAATAAATGGCTACCTATCTTCTGCTATAACATAGCCAAAGCATATGTCCTTTACTGATTAACACTCAACGTGTGGGAAAGAGCCACCATAAATTCCAGTCTAGTCTAGACACCAAAATCTCTCAAAAGGTAGAGCAAAGTGAAACTTTTTATAATCTTGGGAAAACAACAAAATGATGGGAAGAGTAGACTCAAACTATGGAAGGGGCAGTACATAGAATTTTGGGAAATTAATGAATCAAAAGAGCTGTTTGTGAAATCACTAGATAGATGATAAAAGGTATACCACTAAGGCTTAGCAATATTCCTCCAAAGTATTCAAAGAAAATATTAATGAATAATGGATTATTTAAAACACACACACACACACAAGCAAGTAGACTGAGTTTTTCATTGTTCCACCTAGAGGAAGCAAGATTTCTATCAGTTTCTTCAGGTTAATAATAACTAGTATAACCATAGGCCTTTGCAATAATGGTAAGTTCTCTAGAAGCACAACAGAGTAAGACAGACCTAGGGCCCTGATTCCACATTCCCCGTGTGTGTGTGTGTGTGTGTGTGTGTGTGTATGTTTCTAGAGCACAAGAAATCCTGGGCATGCAGATCTTCTCTATAACCTATGAGTATGAGGAGGTTAAAATTCCTAGTTATGTATAGGTCAAGGACCACAATGCATACTTCATGTTTTTGGGAGAGATTAATTGTGTGAGTTCCTAGGGAGAAGGCATAGGAGAGGTAGCAATGACCAAGTCAATCCCAAAGAACTAAAAAATGACAGAGATAAGGATGTGAAAATACTTCTCACCCTCCAACCTTCTTGAGATCTAGCTTAAATAGATTTCTCCCTTTATTTGGATTCATCACGACCATCTCAAAAGATGTCAGGAGATTCAGGACATAGGCATAGCATTACTATTCTATTATGTCACAGATTCCCCTAGTCTGTTGAATGTATTTAATGTTCAGGGATATGGAAATTCAATTCTCCAGTCCTTAAGGGCTCATGCCTTATAGCCCTAGAAACTGGTCAAGAGTAGGTCTCCAACAATTAGTGAATGTAAGTGATAAAGGTATTATCAGTCCAAGAACCCAAAGGTCTTTTGTGCAAAACTCCTGGAATGATGATAGGCCAGATGGCAACTCAGGAATGGGAACAAAGCTGCATTGTGAGTTGAGGATCCATGTGGCAAGGAAGGCCTTGCACTGTTGGCTTCCTCATACTCATAGATTATAGGGAAATATATATATATATGTGTGTGTACATATATACACATATATACATGCATATATAATATGTGTGTATATACATATATATGTATATGTGTGTTTATATATGTATATTTATATCTCCATTGGAATAACATTTAGTTATTTCAATAAAATCAACCTGATCATGGTTGGAGTTGAGTCATCCTCTTTTCTTTTTTAGGCTTTCCCACATTATAGACTTGGGGCTACAAGGGAAGATTCTGAAGTAAGGCATTTTTAAACTGTTCAGTCATCCCCACTTCATTTGTCCATGCCATGTATGGGTACAAGGTATGAGAGTAGGACTGGGTGAAACCACATACCACAGATAAAAATATCCTGCTGTTCTCTAAGTATCTTTCTCAGTTTCTGGGGTCTTGATCTTGGGGCATAGCAGTATCTTCTAGAACTGCTTAGCCTTAGAGGAAACTTACCCTTAGGGAGGGAATGAAGCGAAATATGACCTCAGGTATTGAAAGGATTTGTTTCATACCCTGACTGATGCACTCATTTCATGAGGCAAATTACTGTGGGGTTGGCCAGATTCACCCTCAAAATTTACAAGAAATTTATTTAATCCCTATATGTGCCTCACTGTAGATTCAGGGCTGCATAAATTAGCAATTCTGAAATACTTCTCACCTCACCCTAGAGAATCTTGTCCCTATATACCTATGAAAAGTTGGTCTATGATCTTTAGAATAAACAGTTTAATGTTGTACAACAGTGTCTCTCTTCCCCCACTTACAATAAAACCCTCTGACCAATGAGACTTTTGTACCTTTTCCTGTAATGTAATTTATCTTTGTCTGCCTTCTTTTATTTCTCCTAGTACAATCCCTTAATTAGATCCACTTAATCCACTTAGATCCATTTAACCCACTTAATTAGATTATTTTTATCATTACATCAAAGTCAGCTTATACCCACCTCCTCTGTCTATGTATATCCCTTTAAAATGGTGTAATAACAATACAGTTCTTAAGAGTTACAAGTGGCATCTTCCCTTGGAGGGATGTAAACAGTTTGCCTTTATTAATAACATGTTTTTTTCTGTCCTGTTTACCTTTTTATGTCTCTCTTGAGTCTTGTTTTTGAAGATAAAATTTTCTGTTGAGCTCTGGTCTTTTCATCAGGAAGGTCTGGAAGTTCCTTATTTCATTCAATGTCCATCTCCTCCTCTGAAAGATTATGCTCATTTTCACTGGGTAGTTGATCCTTGGTTGTAATCTAAGCTCCTTTGCCTTACAGAATATCATATTCCACACCTTACGATCATTTAATGTAGAAGCTGCAAGGTCCTTTGTAATCCTTAATGTGGTTCCATGGTATTTAAATTGTTTCTTTCTGTCTGCTTGCAATATTTTCTCTTTGACTTGGTGATTTTGGAATTTGGCTATTATATTCCTTGGCATTTTCAATTTGGGATCTCTTTCAGGAGTTGATTGGTGGATTCTTTCAATGACTATTTTACCCTGTGGTTCTAGGACTTCAGGCCAGTTTTCCTTGATGATTTCCTGAAAGATGTTTTCCAAGCTCTTTTTTTATCATGGTTTTCAGGTAAATTGTCTCTCCTGGATCTGTTTTCCAGGTCAGTTGTTTTTACCAAGGAGATATTTTACATTTTCATCTTTTTTTCATTCTTCTGTTTCTTTTTGACTGATTCTTGTTCTCTCATAGAGTCATCATTAGCTTCCACTTTCCCAGTTCTAATTTTTAATGAATTATTTTCTTCTATTAGATTTTGTAC